ATGGCTGAGATGATAAAAGCATGCATACATCGAGTTTATATAGAAATACAAAGAAATGCGACATGACCTAAACTAGCCATGTAATCTAGAGAGTACATTCCCTTATTACAGCAAATTCAAACCGTGCGGCGCGAGAACCAGTTCTAAACCTACTTTCTCTCTTTTCACTTCAAATGTTTCTGCCTGCATCGGTCTTGATCTGACGGTTACTGGTGTCGCTTCAACTCTTCTGACTCCTTGACTTCGTACTCGGTAGAATCGGCTCCTGCAGCGTACATGAATGCCTTCTCAGTAAGTTTCATATCTCAACAGTAGGTACAAAAAATTAGCCTGAAAATCAGGAAAATCAGGGAAAAAAACATGACATCTGAGGGACTGACAAAAAAACGTGGCCCAAAAACGTAAGGCCCTGCCTTGCCTGTCAATGTCTGTTGTGTCGCTTACGGTTTCACCTACAACTTCAATCGTGTTCTTCTCGTACGTGGAATGCGACTCCTGGTACGCTATACCTCGTGCCTAACATAGACCGGCGTGTTCCTCTCGTCATCGTTCCGCTTCCGTTATCGTTGAATTGTAGCATCTTCTGTTTTGTTTTTTTTTTTTTTAATGCGTCTGCACTATACAAATGCAAACACATTCCCAGTCATAACTGTATTTAGGAGAGGACCGACCCCTCGGCCATAAACCACGGTGCCCCTCTCTTCCCAGCTTCTACAGGGGGCGATGAAAGGTCCTAGGGTTCTGCCAAATGGAGAGAAATCGTCCTTCCACGTGGCCTGCTCTCCTAGGTTGCAAATCCTGTCCACTGCGCTCTCTCGTCTATTGCTAACCCCTGCCATGGGTCTCGTGGTACCATTGCCACTGCATCACGGTCGACGTTTTTGGATCTTTCTGCCCTGTAAATCCGCGCGTGCCTCATAAAATCGCAGATCGCTGCCCTCGCCACTATCTTCCGTTGGAATCTTTTGTTCCCGTACACCGCATCCACCCTGGCCAACCAAATGCGCCGTATCGTCGCCGCTGTCAACGTTGCTCCTGGAAATCCTGACTTCGTGGCTCCCTCCTGGAACAGCATGTCCCCCAATGACCGCATTTGCACGTCTGGATCCGTCACCTGAAGCGAGCTGAGCAGCGCGCCGATTATCGGTTGGATCACCGGGCAGGACAGCATGCAGTGGTCTAGGGTTTCTGGGTCTCCACAGTGTGGGCAAACCCCTCTGGGGCCCAGGAACACCAGCCTCACTCCGACCTGGAGATTCTTGCTATGCATCCTAAGCACCACGCCCCTTGCCCTGTATGGGATGACCAGAGAGTCGCGCCTTTGCAGCACCGCTTTCCAGTCAGTCTTTCTTCCCCAGTCCTCCTCCCATTCGCCCCTTCGTGTCGACTCTGTCATCGGGCCCGTTAGTATCACCCTGGGCGCCGCGGGTCTCATATCCTTGTCAACCAGTTGTGACTGACACAACTTTGCCCGTGGATCCCCCATCACGCCCAAGACTGTACTTCCTTTGACCGCCATCGGCACCACGTCCTTGACTGGGAATTTCACTGCGATAGGCCTCGGCGGGGCTACTAACTTTGTGTCATCCGCACACCTCAAATCATCCGTCGCCACTCTTCCGTCGCTGTTGACACCCCCTACAGTCCAGTACATGTTCGCCTGTGTGCGTTTTAAGACCATGCGAACCACCTTTGCGGCCGCCACCACCGTCGTCACCATCCTTGGAGCCGCAAGCAGCACTTTCCATTCTTTTGGTGCTACCTCATATGCCTTTGTTTCCCATCTGGCTAATGCCACACTCCCGAACTCCTCCCTCAACTATTTGATTTCCTTTTCTGGCAGTTTCCCCGGAACATGATGCATCGGTTGAAACAAAGGAGCTCATGCTCCGCCTCCCATTCATTGGTCGGCGCACGGCGAATCCCAGAAAACTTCTACCACCGCCTTCCACCTCTGACTTCCCCTCTCAGATTTGTGTGCGTACAAAGTTCCTGCACCCTGCGGCAGCAGCGCCGTCTTCTCTACGAGCCACTTCTTCGTGGTGTTTTTCTCCGTCAACAGCTTCCCCACCATTCGGATCGCCAGGCTGTCCAGTCGCACCTTCGGATCGACCAGCCCCAGGCCTCCCTCCTTCTTCGGCAACCGTGCTAACTCGCCACTCCAAAGGACAAACAGCTTTGCTGTCGTGTCCTGGCCCTTGGACACATAATTGTCATAGGTCTTCTTGATTTTGGCCCACAACCCTTCCGGCGGCGGATATATCTGCGTGAAAAGGAAAACTGGCATGATGTAGCTGTTTATGACCGTGACTCTCGCCGCTGTGAGCAGATGCTGGTTTTTCCACTTGATTAGCTCCTTTTTCCCTCGTTCCCATGCCCTCTCCCATGACTGTGCCGCCTCTTTGTTCGGCATGACCCACACTCCGAGCAGGTGTTCCGGCTCCCCATCCCCTGCCCACTTGAAATCGACCCCTGGAAGCGACGTTTCCCCTTGTACCGCCCAAGTGGCATAACAATCTACTTGAGTGAAGCGCCTCCGCCGCCAAGTGAAGTTGTTCTTCACTGCGGAGGATCAGTGATGTATCATCCGCATAGCCCACATACGCCACCTCTTCTCCTCATCTGCCTTGAGTCCCGCGAAGACCTCCAACCTCTCCCTGTCGCTTTCGCAGCAAGACTCTAGTTGCTCCTTCTTGGCTAACAGCGATATGAATCGCTTCATCTGTTGGCCCTCCCATCACCAAATGTCTCAGCCTTTTCACCTCTTCAGTGAGAAGTCGTTGCGTCTTCACCACCCGTTTCCGCTCCTCTCTCTAGTGCGCTCTCAGCCCCGCCGTGAGCCGCGAGATCACCTGCTCCAAAGGGTGACTACCGTCGTTGATCGGTGCCTTAGTCACCTTCTCAACCACTTTCAGCACCCCATTTTTATCCTTCCGTGTCGCCTAAAACCTCGAGAGGCCCGGACCGTGCTCTCGCAACGAAACGATGCACAGGGACAGGCGAATTGCAAACCAGTGATCCGTCGGCTTCCGTGGGACCTCCGCGTGACCTGCCTCCAGCAGATTGCCGAGCCACGACGTCGAAACCAATGCTCTGTCGATGCGGTACTTCGCCTGTGTCACCTTCACCCGGAAAGTTTACTCCTTCTCCGTGGGGTGCAGCGCTTTGAAAGCGGCTCGGAGGTCGTACGACGGCCACAGGCTGATGAACCTCTGATTTTCCTTCTGTTGTGCCAACACATTACAGTGGCACGGTCATCGCACTCCCATTCGGCCTACAAGCCTGCTCAGCTTCTGGAATTTTGTGGGGAGGTTGTTCAACACGTGTTCTTCAAACCCTCAAAGTTTCAGAGTTTTTGAAGCAGTTACCAAGGCATGACAACATTTTATGTTTCAAGACTTATGGCATCCCGGAAGTGTGTGTTACTCCTTTTTGGTAACACCCGAGTTCACCATTTCGGCTGCTGACTCGTCTACCGAGATCTGATTGGTCTGAAATTCGGTCTGGAAGTCCTTTGCCCCGCTGTGCAAGTGGTCACCAAGTTTCAGAACGATCCAACATCTGAGCATTGCGTGACAGCTGCCGAAATTCACTGTTCCGTAGTCATGGTGCACTGTTGGCAGCATTTCCCTTGCCACCCTTTCATTGTTGTCATGCCAATGGTGCAGGGACAGAGAATGAGACAAGAAGTACAGGTGGTCAAGTGGGACTCTACTACCCTCCTTTTGAGAAGTGTGGTCTTCCTGGAAGCAACTTGCAAGAGGGTGCAAGTGGGAAGACAAGCTGACTCATGTTGGCTTGACTCACTATTGGTAGCCTTGAGTACAGCTCTGAACATCCAAGTGTGGTTGGCTTTGCTGACCTAGCTAGGACGTTTCCCATTCTTCTCTAGCCTTTCTCCCCTAGGACTCAACCTTCTCTGAGTTCCCAGGATGACCCAACCCCTTATGAGTCCCCTAGGCAATGTTGTACTCACCTCTTCCTTGCATCAATGAGAATACACGTTTTTTCAGCCGAGCTTACGTTTTCGTTCACTGCGTAGTGCACACACCTCTGATAATAGCAAGTAATATACCGTTGGAAAGCAGACATCTAAGGCTAACCGCTGTCCAAGTTTCAGCCTCGTATGTTCTCGGAGCTGATCGTGACGGCGTTTTGAACAGAGGCGGTTTGAAGACGTCAGATTCTGCTTAGGCGGTTTCATGGGCATCCGCGACCCCTAAGTGGACTGCAGACTATAACACCTTCCCAGACCTTGCTCCTCACGATTTGCCCAGATCCGGGTCGGCGATGATGTTCAGATTTCCCACCACCACCAAGTGCGCTATTTGTGGCTGCGCATGTATGAACGGAGTCAAATGCTCGGTGTGGAACTTCGCCCTGTTACACGCCTGCGCCAGGAGTTACGCCACTGTCAGCCTGAAAGCCACCTCCCCTACTTTCACTGTCACCCCAAGAAGCCTCCCAGATGGGTCCGCCAAGGCTTCCGAGAAACGTAAGTGTTCTGCAAAGGCGAGAATTTCCACCCCCCCAGCCGCTTGGTTGGGACTCGCAGCAGCTCACGCTTTTGGCTTTAGCTCACTCCAGAGGTTGTGATCTTCCTTGATCCGTGTGTCTGACAATACTACTATATCCGCGGCCTTGCGCAGCCACTGCCGATGCTTGCTATGTTTTCTGTTGCTTCCGAGGCCGTTCACATTGACCCCGCAGATGGTAAGGTTGGTTATATTACCCATTTATCCACTCTTCATAAAGCCGCGTGGCTTTATTACACAGGGTGATATACATGACGCATCCAGCTGATTCTAACCTCTCCTTGCTCCGAAAGCTTGTGATCCCCACTGATGTCCAGCACAAGTCCATGCTGCACCGTGGCGACACTACTTCCCATACTCCTTCTAGACGTCCGCCAGATTCTGCTTTCTCCTGCTCTGTCGGGTAGCAGCTCCTGCCTTGAGCAGACCAGTGCAGTGGCGCTGCGATTGGACATGCTCCACCGCCTATTTGAAATTGTTTCCGTGAGCCTTCCCGCACTCCTCTTGCACGCAGATCCACTCCTCCCGGACCCCCCCCACCGAGGTCAGGGAAATCGCCGGGTCTGCCATGATGATCTTCGCCGCCACTGACAGCTTCAAAGAAGCAGTTGTTTGGTGGAGAGGCAACACAGAAATCAGCTCGGGGGTTCGCTGCTGCAACCACCTGAAAAACAAGGTAAGCGCGTGAATCTTTACCATTAATCTCATGAGCCCGCATCAGCGACAGACCCCAGTTGCCGATGTTATTCTGCCTCTCCTTGACAAACTCATCATGGAAACAAGTCATGTGCATGCCGTTGCAAAACTCGCAGGTAAGAGCGGGAAATGACACGAGGAGATCAATGCCATGAATTTTGTCAGTGACGCGGTGCCACCACTTATACTTATCCGCCGGGTGCCTGTAGACGAAGCCCTTGATCTTATCAGTGTCTGACCCGAGACAGGATCCAGGACCCTATGAAATGACGAGCCCTCACGGAAGGTCGTACGACCCCGCTTCATCAGCATCGCAGTCACCAGAGTCTTCCAGATCATTTTTGGTGAGATCACCGCCGGACTCCCTTAAGCAGCACCTCGATCACCTCCGGGTGCAGAGCACGCTCTTTCAGGTAACCAGCGTTCTCCGGGTGCTGCCGGCCGAGCGTTAGCTTCTTGTCATTCATCATGTAATGCTCAACTTCCCGGCTCCAGACGAAGTTCGCATCAGCCTCCTGCTGAAAGACCACCTGGATTCGGCCGAAATGCTTCTTGGACAAGTAGGTAACCGACAGCTGCTGACATCTAGTCGTATCCCTGACATTCTCCGAAAGGTTCTTCCCCCACACCAGCAGCAGATGTCCGACTGTATTGATGGTGCGGGGAACCTCCTTGTTCCAGGCAAACGGGATGAGCAGGGTAATAGCGAAACCCGCCTGCGCGGCGATTTCGTTAAGCACCTCCAGGTCTTGGCACTCGTCCGGATCATCACTGAGGTAACCGTCGTCATTGCCCTTGTCCTCCACCTTTGCTTTGCCTTTGTCAAGCACATCAGGTGCCGGTGACCAGCTTCTAACAGCAGACGACTTAACCATGTCGTTTTCCTTTCCTCCCGCCGGCAGATCATCCAGCTTGAGGGCCGACGTTCGCTCCGCCAGCTTGTTGACCATATCTGCGCCAAAAGAGCCAGCCACGCCGTTGAAGAGCGTCTTAGGAGTCACCAGATCCGGTCGCTCATCCGACGGCTTCTTCCCTTGCACACCAGCAGCACCAGGAGCAGGCAGAGTCGGCGCATCGCCAGTAGGAGCCATGGGGTGATGATGAAGAACCAAAGAAATATTTGCAGTCGTAGATCGCGAAAACGATCTGAGCCCCAGAAGCTCTTGCGGTGACTTGTGTCTTCCCGTCTTCTTATGCCTGTATTTGTGGATTATGAGAGCCTTAGCTTCAGCAGGATGATACTTCTCGGGAATACAGACATCATTGGCCTTGGGAGCGTTACGAGCCCTGGGAACCTCATTGTCAGGAGAAGTCTTGAAAGTGCCTGATAATAAGATCGTTTGTAAAATGTCCTCTATATGAACATAAAAAAGTGTATGCACGAAATTCTTTGTTGGGCTGAGAAAAGCCCTTAGGATCTTTGCAGGACTAAACTCTGAGTAGGAAGTTGTAATAGCGGAAGCGTTTTAATGATAAGTCCTTGAACCACCTTGCGCTCGTATGTGAGGGCAAAGTAGATTGATTAAAACAAGGAAATACAAGGTTTTATAAGAGTACAAGGAATACGAAGAGATACAGCTAATAACAGTTTTACTGTTGCTGTTGCGGTTTGATACAGTGTCGACTCGAGCAACTGCTCAATAACGAGTCAGTTGTTTGTCCTTGCTGTCCCGCTGTATTTGTCAAGTCAAAGGTCGCTGACCTTTGACTTTCGCGTAACCTCTAGCAGTTACATTTCTTTTTCAACCTTCGATGGTTGACTTGCCGATGCTTCGTTGTGCTTTGCTTTTTTTACGACTTAGTGTTTCGACGCAACAGAAGCGCTTAAATCATTTGTTTCCAACACTCCCCTTCACTTCTAGAGTTTCGTTGCTGGTGGTGGCTTTGTCCAGTCAGCAGCATGCAGTACTCGAACTTCTGCTTTCCTAGCTTCTTGGTCAAGTAATCGGCTGCCATCTCATACGTGGGACAGTAGGACAGCTCAAGTCTCCCCTTCTCGATCTCGTCCTTCACGAAGAAATATCGCAGGGCGGTGTGCTTCGTTCTGTTCGCGAATCCGTTCTTGTTGGCTATGCGGATTGCAGACTGGTTGTCGCAGAACAGGGAGAAGCGGGGTAACTGGGCCAGCTTCGCTTCTTCCAGTAGTTCGCGAAGGTACAGTCCTTCCTTGGTGGCTGAGCAGAGTGCAATATATTCTGCTTCAGCTGAGGAGAGAGCAATCAGTTCCTGCTTGATAGGCCCTATAGGCTCGAGTCGGTAGATGTATCGGTGCGCGAGCGCTTGTTGTCAGGGTCGCCGGCGTGATCAGCGTCGACGTAGCCGATTAGCTTAGGCGCCGTAGTTCCGGTCTTGTAATAAGTTAATCCGATCGTCGGGGTGCTGACGAGGTAGTGTAGTGCGCGGTCGAGCTCTGCCATGTGTTCTACTTCAGGTTTCTTGAGGTAGGTGGCGAGTTGGCTTGCGGAGTACGAGAGGTCCGGTCGACAGGTGACGGCTGCGAATAGCAAACATCCTAGTTTTCGTTGGTAGTCGCGTATGCCGGCGGGCTTGAGCAGAGCGGAGGCTTCCTTGTGACTTCCGGCGGTGTAGCAATATGGTGTAGAGATAGTAGTTGGGGTGAGTCCAAAGCGTTTGGCGATGGTGTCGGCGTCTTTTGCAACGTTGAGGTAGATTGCGTTTTCTTCTTCTTGGATGTTGAGGCCGAGGTATTGCGTGACGGTGGATGAGACCGTGAGAGTGAGATCCTTTTGCAGCTCCCCTTCGAACCAGGTAGTGACGCCGTCGGTCGACCCGATGTAGAGTAGATCGTCCACGTAGACGATGAGTAGGATGTAGTCGTTGCCTTTCGTAAGTCGGTACATGCCCTGGTCGTGCGGTAGCTGGCGGAATCCGATGCGGATAAGTATAGCGTGTAAGTACTGTTGCCACAGTCTCGGAGCCTTTTTGATACCGTACAGGGACTTCAGCAGCTGACAGGCTTGGTTGGGCTCTCCGTTGGAGCCGTGTGGTAATTCGACTAAGATTTCGGCGTCAACAGGTGCGTAGAGAAATGCATTGGCGACGTCGATTTGGCGTAGCTTCTTCTTCTTCATGGCGGCGATCGCGAGGAGAATCCGTACTGAGGTGTGTCGGCAACCGGTGCGAACGTCTCAGTGAAGTCGCGTCCGTGCTCTTGGTCGAAGCCACGTACGACCCAGCGCGCTTTAAACTTGTCGATGGTGCCGTATGCCTTTGTTTTCACTCGGAAGACCCATTTTCAGGTAAGTACCGTCTTGTTGCGTGTGACTCCGATGGGTACAACCTTACACTTGTTGCGTTCTTCCAGTGCCTTTAACTCCCTATCCATGGCTTCACGCCATTTTTCCCTATGCTCCCCCCCAAGAGCCTGCTGAACTGTGGCAGGCTCCTTAGGAATCGTCGTGCCGTAAACCGTAGTGACGAGGCCAAGTATCTGGAGTCCACTCTGTGTGTAGCGGGGAAGTGTTGTATCCTCGGGATAAACTGCTTCGTCTCCCGCTTCTGGATCAGAATTGAAGTTAGGTCCTATGCGTTCTGCTTCGTCGGTGTTGACGTGTGCAGGTGTAACGTAACCATTGTCGGCGAAGTGGTAGTAGACGTCGGCGTTGATGCTGTCGAGAGGATTTTTGTCATCCATCGGGACTGAGAAGTAGGGAAGAGGTCCGGCTTCCTCCGAGGCTCCTTCCACGTTCTGCTCGTCCCAGTCAGCTTCATCTGCTGCCGAGGCGAAGGCTCGGTCTCCACGAAATCCACTGGTGAGGTCCCGTTGTTCTTCCAGGTTGGCTTGGTAGGAGTCGAGGGTGAGACGCTCGTAGAAAATGATGTCACGTGCTGCCACTGTTTCCTTTGAGTGGACGTTGAAAATCTTCCACGTGTTGTAATTCTTTTTTATGCCCAGCTGTAGTCCCCACTATGCGCGTTGAGAGAATCGGCTGGCTCGTGCAGATGGGGGTCGGTACTGTACCATGCAGCCAAAAACGCACAACATTTTTGTGCTGCCGAGTTTTCCTGTCCACAGCAGATGCGGTGATGCGTTGTTCGGGAGCGATGATGACGAGAGCAAGTTGTGCAGCATCACTGCGTGATCCATTGCCTTGGGCCACTGGTGGTTGGGTAGCCGCATGCCACGTAGCAGTTTGCGCATGGTGTTCTGGAGGGTCCTGTTCATTCTTTCTGCTACACCTTGCTGTTGATGGGCGTAAGGAAGGGAGATGAGGCGTTTGATGCCTCGTTCTGCCAGGTAATCCTTGAATCGTTGTGAGGTATATTCTCCTCCTCCGTCTGACTGGAAGCTCTTTAGATTCACCCCAGATTCCCGTTCTGCTGCTGGAAGCCAGGCAACGAAGGCTTCGAAGGCCATGTCGCGGCTCGGAAGGTTGCCAGACGTATCGTGTGGCGGCGTCGATGAACGTGATGGTGTAGTTGTAGGCTCCTTGTCCTGGTACGCGATTGTACAGGATGTCACTGTACACCTTTTCTAGCGGTGCGTAAGCTGGTGCGCTTGGGTTGTGGTGAGAGACAAACGGCTGATGCGGTAAGTCGGCTTCAAGACAGGTGAAGCACGTTCCGCGAACTCGTTGGAGTACTCTGCCATCATGTAGAAGTAGTGAATCTTTGTCGAGCACTCCGGCTCTTATCGTATTGTTTAACGTCGTGTTGCTTGGGTGTCCCATTCTTGCATGCCAGATGTCTTCCTTGGCGCGGTGTCCGGGTTTAGGGTTTATACATGTTCGAGTTTGAGTAAGAGCCAGCGGTGAAGTTGGCGCTTCGATGGACCTCCCGTGGAGTCGGAATTAGATGCTACGCAGGTGTCGGTGGCGAATCGTCGACGAGGACTGGTGCCGTTGAAGGGCCAGCGATTGGTGTCGATGTGGCTACTGCTGCTGTCGTTGTCTCTGCTGCTGCCGATGTTGTCTCTGCTGCTGCCGATGTTGTTTCTGCTGCTATCGATGTTGTCTCTGCTGCTGCCGATGTTGTCTCTGCTGCTGCCGATGTTGTCTCTGCTGCTGCCAATGTTGTCTCTGTTGCTGCCTGTTGAATTGTTGCTAACGCTCTTGTTCGTTCTGCCTCATGTATGGTTTCCGAATATACCAAAAGCCTCCAGGACTGAAGTCGGGATCAAGGTCTGGCGGGTGCGTGCAAGTATTGAAGTTAACGATGGAGTCGCTGTCAGCGGTGCCGAGATCTGGAATGAAGTCGAGAACGAAGACGTTGTTCTTCAGCACTGCTTTCCCGATGTAGAGTCCGCCTCTCCCGTGGTATAGCTTGAATTTCTGGGTGGTGCTGTCTGCTTCGAGGTGAATGCCCTTTGCCATCACCTGGCTGACAATGAGTAAGTTGTACCCGAGTCCCTCCGCGATTAAATCTTTAGACATTTGCAGTATGACGTTTGTCTCCCGTGACTGAAGTTGAACCACTCCTTGTCGTCGTGTGCGCAGGTTCTAATTGTTGGCGACGGTGATGACGACTTCGTGTTGGAGCTGGTGTTCTCGTTGAACGAAGCGACCCGAGAAACACATATGCTGTCCGCAGCAACTGTCCAAGAACCAGGTGTCTTTCCCGGACGGCTCGCTTTGGGCAATGGCTGCGTATGTCGGATTCCGTTGTAATGACTCGCGACGTGGAGTGTTTTCTTCGAGTAACTCTGCCGGAGAGTAGTGCGGCGGTGACTCGGTGATGCAGGAGTCTGTCAGTCTTGCCATGCAGCTGACGATGTTTCTTGCTCCTTGTGCGGATTGTGTTGACGATGTTGTTGAAGACAGCGGCTGATCTATGGGGTGCGCCTGTGTGGACGCTACTTGACTGTTTGAAGGACAAAGTTTATGTTGCGGCGGCGTTGACTGCTGTCGATTCGGGCAGTGTGTGCGTGGATGCCTTGACGTCTTGCAGAGGTGACAAAATGGAGGTACGGGTTTTGGTTGTTGCCGGTTGTTGCTGTTGTTGTAGCACCGTTGAGTGTGGAATGCAAATTCGGGTACTAACGCCTTCTTCTTGTGTCGCTCCTCGTGCAAGTCCATGTCTTGCTGCTCGGCGTGAATTTCAGCGCAGAGTGCCGCTTCGGAGATTTTTCCGT